TGCCCCTGGCTCCTAGCTTGAGCTACTGCAGGCATGTGCCTGCATTTTTTCAGTCCAGAGGGGATATCTGTTTGATTACAAATTGGTTTAGCCTAGCCAGGTGAGACTAACCTGCAAAGATTTAATCAATTAAGACTCAGGCTTTCTGAAATCTGTCTTTAGCCATAATGTACCTTTTTCAAAGATCTCCAAAGGCACAGCAAGAAACCAATTATTGAGCCTCAGGTCAACATGGTCTCTTCAAAGAGATAAGGATGATCTCTGTACAGAGATGTAGCAGAGAGAGCAGCTTTGTGCTCTGGGCAGTAGTAGCACAGAGGGTAGCAGCAGCTGCTGTGACACTAATGGCAGTGGCTATTTCACCCCTTCCCCCCCAAATAAGTGGCACCTTGTGGTGCTGGCCTGGTCACACCTCTCAGTTATGCTGCTGTGTCTAAGATTTAATCTTCTCCTAGTTTTTATCCTAGGAAGCTGAGGCCACTCACTCTATAACCAGGTTTAATTAGCATTTAAAAAATTTTAGAACATTTGACTAGCCTAGAACATGCAAGTAAGTTATTTCCTCCTGGACTAAATTCTGCTTTCAGTAACAGTAGCATAGGGGTCTAATGGTGCCTGTCTTGCTTGAGTGAATAAAGAGTAAGGGAGGGTATCAGGTAACTCCCTGTGCAGTGTTCCATTGTAGGTGTTCGATCCAGTCCCATCAAAGAGTTAGCACCAGCACTACTACTGGTGCCACTATCACCAAGAGAGTAGGGAGGAATGGAATGAAAGCAGGATTCAGGCTTCCTAGAGGAAACTCACCCATTGGGCTAGAAAGCCAATTTCTAGCTGCCCATCCAAACACATCCAACATTTACAGCATTAATACAAAAAGCCTTGAGTATTCTGTGCATCCATAGCTCTGCTACATCTCAAGACAACAGCCTCTGGATAATGCATATTTCCAAAGCTTCATATCTGCCACATTCAAAAACACATGCAGGCAAGTATTTGAATACCTGTTTTACAAATCAGGAACTTGAGATGCAAAGGATGTGTCCTGATGAGTGGGTACATGCAGGGGCATGCATTTCCCACAGGACAAATAGCAGTGGCACATATTTGTGCCACTGCTATTTGTCTCTGGGCACACCCCTGCATGCACACTCCCGCAGATGGCATAT